GTATGACTGTTGTGACGTTATAACCACAGAGACAGCTATACGTCTGTGGTATGACTTTTGTGACGTTATAACTAGAGTTATCTATACGTCTGTGGTATGACTTTTGTGACGTTATAACTAGAGTTATCTATACGTCTGTGGTATGACTTTTGTGACGTTATAACTAGAGTTATCTATACGTCTGTGGTATCACTGTTGTGACGGTATAACCACGGAGTTAGTTATACGGCTGTGGTATTACTGTTGTTACATTATAACCACAGAGTTAGCTATACCTTAGTGGTATCACTGTTTTGACAATATAACCACGGAGTTAGCTATGCGTCTGTAGTATGACTGTTGTGACTTTATAACTACGGAGTTAGTTATACGGCTGTGGTATTACTGTTGTGACGTTATAACTAGAGTTATCTATACGTCTGTGGTATCCCTGTTGTCACGTTATATTAACGGAGTTAGATATACGTCTGTGGTATTACTGCTGTGACGTTATAACCACAGAGACAGCTATACGTCTGTGGTATGACTTTTGTGACGTTATAACTAGAGTTATCTATACGTCTGTGGTATGACTTTTGTGACGTTATAACTAGAGTTAGATATCCGTCTGTGGTATTACTGCTGTGACGTTATAACCATGAAGTTAGCTATACGTCTGTAGTATGACTGTTGTGACGTTATAACCACGGAGTTAGCTATACGTCTGTGGTATCACTGTTGTGACGTTATATTAACGGAGTTAGCTATACGTCTGTGGTATCACTGTTGTGACTTTATAACCACGGAGTTAGCTATACGTCTGTGGTATTACTATTGTGACGTTATAATAACTAGAGTTAGCTATACGTCTGTGGTATCACTGTTGTGACTTTATAACTACGGAGTTAGATATACGTCTGTGGTATTACTATTGTGACGTTATAATAACGGAGTTAGCTATACGTCTGCGGTATAACTATTGTGACGTTATAACCACGGAGTTAGCTATACGTCTGTGGTATCACTGTTGTGACGGTATAACCACGGAGTTAGCTATACGTCTGTGGTATCACTATTGTGACGTTATAACCATGAAGTTAGCTATACGTCTGTGGTATTACTATTGTGACGTTATAACCACGAAGTTAGCTATACGTCTGTAATATTACTATTGTGACGTTATAACCACGGAGTTAGCCACAGGCAAGTAACCACCAAGTAAGCAATTAAGCATTCATTTTGTGTTTATTTTGTCTGGTCAAAAATTAGCGATTCAATGTTTGTACGGATGAACAAATAACAGCCTTTGATGTTTTTGCCTATACTAAAGTATAGATTTTAACAGAAAAAACTAAATTTTGAATACATTACTGGAAATCCACGATACTCCCCGCAAGTCCCTATGAAGGCTACACCACCAGTAAATACTTATAAAAGGCCTAATAAAAACCATATCCATTTCAACATTCAGCATATCCATTTCAACATTCAGAATGAGATTCATCAGTTTGGTACGAATGATAATTGCTTGAACAAAAGCAGGAATTGAAAACTTCTTTTGCGCCTGTTTCCTTTGTCAAGCATATATAGAGAGTAAATGGCCGATGTCTCGACTCGAAACAGCTGGAACAACTCACTTAGCCATACAGTGTGTCGAATCATTTAAGTCAGCTGTCATGTTAACCCATACCGGGTGTTAAAATGGGGTCATACCATAAATATGGCTCGGCTGGTGGCCCCCTTCGTCCATGTTCATCGATTCCCCATTCCCTCCTAACCCAGATGGATTCTTTGATTTCTCTGATTTTTCGGTTGCTCTCCCTTTCAAGCAATTTCGATTTGTTCCAGTCTATGATGTAGTTGTGTGTGCTAGCATGATATGTAATGGCCGATTTATTGTATTGTCTCTCCGATGTATTCCTTGTATTTCTAGTGTAGACTTGCTGTTTCACGGCTTCAACGTCTTTCTGATGTTCTTTTAGGCGTGTCTAAAATTTCCGGCCAGTTTCCCCGATATATGCAAGGTTGCAGCTGTTACACGGTATTCGGTAAACCACCCCTGTTTTGTTTTATTTCCATGCACTATGTTTTTCGGATGAACTACAAAATGCTATAGCTGTTCGATGGTGTTGTGTAATCGCAAGAGCGTGAGAATGTGATGTTTACACAACACTTTTGACAATGCATCAGCCACCTCTATTATGTGTCTATGGTATAGTAACCATGCCGTTAGTCTTTCTCTCTGGGTTTGTACGATTGTGTTTCTTGAAGCCATTCCCATTGCTTTTATTTTCCGTCTATTTTTCTTATTGACCATTCGGGGTATCCACATGTCGTCAGGGCTTGTTGGATATGTCGCTTTTCAATTTCTTTGTCTCCCTGTTCAATTACGATGTTTATGCATCTGTTTGGGATAGTGCGTACTACCGCCAGCTTCTGGTGCAATAGAAGGTGTATATTGAGGTCGAGGTACTGATCTGTGTGAGTGGTTTATTTTCTGTATACCAGCAATTTGATGGAACCGTCAGCTTTTTTCAAATTTTTTCGTCTTCCTCTTTTGATGTAAATTTATGGAACTTGTATCATCCACTTGGGTTAAGATGAGTTGATAAGTTGATTTTTTTACTACTTCCAAGATATCATCAACACATCTTTTCCATAGTTAAGGACGACACTCCATCGGAGCAGTTGTGATGGCTTTCTGCTCCAGATGCTCCACAAAATAAATTAGTAACATGGGTGATACTGGGCTTCCCATTGCTGCCCCCAAATTTTTGCAGGCAGATTGTGTCCCTGAAAGAGAAATAAGTAGTGTTGAGTATAAATTCAAACAACTCAATGATGTTGTCAATGGATGGCTTGTCTTAAGTCTGTCTACTTTAAACCTATCCCCTATGACCATATCCAATTCAGTTTAGGAACATAGTCAGTATTTCTTTTTGGCTTTAAAGTGTATTTGTCTTTAAAACCATTTAGACTAAACTGGAAGTTTACGACCTGTTAATTTTGTTAGTGATCTTATTTGTCTTATCATTGTCTTGATAAAAAAGAGACTTTAACAAATATCAAAATTCAAAATGACTTTTAGGAACTTGACAAGCCAAGCATGGCTTTTGACCCCAGTGAAGGACAGTTTAAGTATTCGTTGGATATATACTTATCTAGATTTACTCAAACACTGCCTTGTAGTTAAGGTGTTCGATATTCTCCACAACGAGATCAAGGTCGACCTATTTGGCACTAACCCCAAGAACATACTGGTATAGCCGTTAGTATACCGTTCATGAGTGTGTGGTTGATAAGAGCGTGTTGTGACTAGCACTCATTATCGTCAATAAAGCAGTGGGCGGCTGTTGGTAAGCTAACAAAAAAACAAAAAACTGGGCCTGGGCCGACTCATTCAGCGCAAGATTTACCAAAACTGGTGCAAAAATAGCGTTTGCCATCTTGATCCAAAACATTCTACTGATATTTAGGTATTTGGGCACCTTGACTTTTCTTGAATAGTAAAAGTGCATCAATGGAAAAAATAACATTGCGGGGTTTTTTTCTGGATTGCACCATAAAGCCAAAGAACTGTAACATGGACTTGGTATTGATATTTCTTTATTGAGTTTCATGCATCATTAAAATGAATGAAACTGACATATATATGCCTAAACCGATCTTCACCACAAAACATGCATATTTATTTCTTTGGATCTTTGCTTCAGATAATTTAAACATAATATCATAAAACTGTTCAGTTTACAAAAAAAAAACACATCCTGCAGATTACATATTTTCATTTTAAAGGAATTGCACCCACTTATGGATGTACTCTTCTGCGGATTAAATCACGGTAGATAACACAGAAATGTGAGCCTGAGCTTTAGCTCAAGTGACCTATTGCTATCCGTCTTCGTCTGTCGTCGTCCGTCGTCCGTTAACATTTTACATTTTCATCTTTAGCTGAAATACTGGCAAAGGGATTTCATAAATATTTCATGGGAAGGTTACTGACATCTCCCTGACCAAGTGTTTTCGGGTCGATCAAAAATCCAATATGGCCGCCACGGCCGCCATTTTGAAAATTTTTATTTCAAACTTAAAGTCAAGATCTGCTAGGCCGATTTAACTGAAACTTTGTAGGAATGATCGACTCATGGTCCTGACAAAGTTTTGTTATTAATTTTTGGGGTCGATCAGAAATCCAATATGGCCGCCATTTTGAAAAACTATTTCAAACTTAAAGTCAAGTTCTACCTGGCCGATTGAACTGAAACTTTGTAGGAATGATCGACTCGACAAAGGTGTTATTTTCGGTCGATCAGAAATACAATTTGGCTGCCATGGCCGCTATTTTGAAAATACCTATTTCAAACTTAAAAACAAGATCTAATAGGCCGATCTAACTGAAAATCGGTCTAGGAATGATCAGCGCTCATGGTCCTGACAAACTATGTATACTTAACATTGTTTTACTCTAATTGGTACATATTTCAACAACAAAAATAAATACTGTAGGACCGTTAAGGCCCATGGCCTCTTGTTTATTTTAATATAATGGTCAGGGGTAATCTAAATTGCTTTTCTGAGATAAAGGAATTAACTTAAAGAAATATCACTTCCATTGATGACTATGCTATTTTTATCATTTCTTTAAACATTTTAGATTTCTGAGAACGTTTGGAATATATTGATGGAGTATGTTCTGCATACGGTAAAACCAAAACAAATTAACACACATCATGTTGAAATGGTATCTTTGACCGATTATAGCAAAATAAGAACACTCGGATAAATCTTTGATTTTCATTTTTTGTTTATTATGCCATCAACCTTTTTTCCAAAAGCACATACAAGAGAACACTTTAATACATGATTTTTGTAACTCCCGTGAGGGATACATCTTGTCTCATTTGTTTTTATGGGTAAGTTACAACGAAAACGATATGTAGGTCTCGTAATCAGCATATCGTGACATCAAATGGCCTTCGTGTTAGTGAACTGACATCACATGTGTACCGCTTTATATGTCGCTTGCCAAGGACATTGTTAATTCCGCTCTTATCTTTATATGTGCATTACAAACATGACGCTCCGAACGTATTTAGGTGTTCTGGTGGTTTATTTTGTCGGTAAGTCCATTGTTTCATTATGTTTAAAAGTTATATTGTCAGATTTTAACATTTTGTTCCTTAGAACATAATTCAATTAAGTCCTTTCACGCGCGTAGCTGCAATGTAAGCAAACGCTCAGTTGTATGCACATCAAAAGTCCTCAAATGTACTATTTAATTGGTATTTATGTAATGTGATCAGAGATAGGGATTTAATATTTGAAGGTTAAACATATTATACGTGGCTGTTTTAGTCCAGTTTAATAAAACCAGAGATATGCCAGCAATATTCTCGTATTGTGTACGGGAATCTAGAGTATACTAGGTGCCGAATTTATTTTAAGTGTATAAATAATGATAATGAACTTTGCAAGCACACCTCGTTTACAATCCAGCCACGCGCCTACCTTTGTTTCATCATATTGAGAAGTTTTGCAGTCAGAAATTATAGTTTTGTTTTGTGGATAATAATCCGTCGGATAAAGAGAGCAAACGGCTACATTGTCCACGAACAGCAACAAATGGGATCACAACATCGATATTGTATTCATCTGCAAACTAATGTGATTGGCGTTGACGGAAAGGTTAATAACGATTTATAAAAACCTATTTGTAATTAATCTAACGAGTAAAGATTGGTTGAGATCTATAAAACAAATATTTGCACCATACCTTAACGCGCGCGCTAAGGTTTTGTGTCCGTAGTTTTAAGGATCTCTGTCCCACTGCTAAAATGATCGTCTTTCTTCATTTCATCTCTTACGATTTGTTTTCATACAAATGCGGAAAGATATAAAAATAAAAATCAGAAATTATTTATTAAACTTTATACCGGAAAAAATTATAGTTACAGTTTTTGGCATTGGCATATAACTACTTGTAAAACTAGGCAAGATTTTTTATAACATTTATATACATTTGTTTAACTATGAACAAGATTTTCTGTTAAATCAAATGGATATATTGATTGACCGGACGCATACCACAAAAGCCTGTCTAATCCGATTATGCTATATATGTTGTTCGGTTAAAGCATGGTTAGCTGTAATATACGTTCATAAACAGTGACCTACTTATAAAAAGGGACCTCTAAGGTGTTATGATACTTCCAACACATTAAACACGATTTCAAGATATATAGATTACGGCTCCATTCTAGGACTGTGTGTAATAACTCCTAGATCTGGGTCAAGTTCACTTTGTACTGACCGTAAAACAGAAACGTGGGCGAAATGTTTCCGGTGCCTAACTTATCTATAGATGCGTTATATTTCATATACTCTAAAACAAAAATAAACATACAACGCAAACCAACTTGTGTGGTACTTTTTTCAAACACGCCTAAGAAATATTTCCTGTTACCAATGTTGTGTATGCGTTTTATCAGTATAAATGCTATCTAACAATGTCACCGAAATTTCATAATTTCTATTTCATTCGTTCCATATAATATATATCTTTACTTGAGGGGACATAATAAGAAAGGTTACAAAAAAGGAGTGCTACTTTAGCTGATGAGATCAGATTTAAAAAGTTTCTTTGAGACATGAAGTATAACAAAAATGAGCGTTGCTTGAGATGCGTTCATTCATTTAAACAAAATATCAAATAAAAGGCAAAGCATAGCCTGAGAAGTAAATTTCTTTCTTTAGATTTCATCATTAGATATAGAAATTAATGTTTTCTTCAGGCATAATTATAAACGAATCACGCGTAGGAGCACAGACAAAAAGATACGAACCACGCGTAATAACACAGACAAATAAAAACAAAACGGGTAGTCACAACGAAATCACAAGGAACAATAATAAGCATACACAAAACGTCGATTTACGTATCGAACAAGGAGATATAATTGTATTTAATAAGATCTTGATGGCCACCGACTGCTTCTCTAAAACTATGTGTTCTTAAAATGTCATGTCTGGATGCGACAAGAAGTTTGATACTTTGATGTCCACCAAAATAATCTCACGGTCGAGTAACGGTGCAATGGAATGGAATTGAAGTCGAGTGTCACTCCATTGTAATCTTTGAAGGCCAGGTTTCAGCCTAGCGATCGGTCAGGGTTTTCTTTTACTTGAGACCAATTAATTAGCTAGCCGCGTGCCTTCGATTTTGTATGAAACATTCCAGGAGTGCAAAGAGCGAAAGTGATCGTAACCTCCTTAGTATCGAGAATGACAACGATCGGAACCACGATTACCAAGTTCTTCATCGTGTTAACGCTGACGTATTATAGTCTCATTATGATGACGTCCTTAACTGATATATATCTCCTATGGTAACCCCTGGTTTTATTGATCAAAAGGATGCATCTCTTCAGAACATTCAGAACATTCTCTAAACTTTATAGAGGATAGAGGAAAATTACCGTTTCTTATGTAGTCATACACTTTATACTTTTAGTCCTGCTGTCTGAGATATGCACCGCCGAACCACTTCACTGTGGAGGTAGGGACTGCGATGCCCATCATGATGTATGTATATACCTCAGTTTTACATTCTCCTACCCATTATAAGTAAATTCTATTGATTAACTATGGACCTTGGTTCAGACTTATATGTGATTTAAGGACCAGACAAAGCGATATTCAATGAAGCAAAGTCGAGGTCGGTATCATTTTCAGATCCTGAATAACATACACATCGCAATAAAAGTACTCACTTGTTAAATTAGACTTGAATGTATTAAGCATTTATCATTAAATTATATATAAGGTCAACAAATCGTCAAGAGAAACACACTGCATTTGACAGAGCGCATTTTGAAGTTACAGTTTAAATGGTGTCGTGAAGTTACTATTGATACAGCACCATACGCTTTTCATCAAGAACACCTAATCCTATTTTCTTAGTACTTTTTCAAGGGTCTCCTTGTAAATATTTATTTTGTTCGTATTTATCCCTGGTTTTATTGATTTTGAGTTCGAATTATGGTTTTGTTAACACTTCGGTGTTCTCGTTTCCGACGTGACTATTGTTCTCATATTGTAAGTAAAGGTCATATAATTTGGTTGTGAACTGACCTCTGTTGTCATGCAGATGGAGAGGAATCTTCAATCCTGGATGATTATTTTGGTTGTCCAACCTTCAGCAGGGCTTAGGTCTATACAAACAAAATGTTCCCCTCGGGTTACAGATTTCTGTAAGGGGTTGGAGAAAATGATTTTAATCCAAAATTATATTTAGGCGATTATCATTGAAATTGGTTGTGAAATTATCACTGTTGTCAAACTTTAGGTAAATGTCAAAGTTTGGTTGTGAGATTACCATTGTTTCCACCACATCTGTGTATGAAAGATACGCTTGTCCCATGTGGGTGTACTTAATGACATATACACTTATGGTGTAACAATAAGATAATGACGTTTTATTATGATGTCACAATTGAAAACACGTTAAAACGTCGTTTGACTGACTGCGGCAATCTTGCCGTTAGCAATCGAAACCACCCCAAGAACATAGAATTGTTGAATAAGCTTGTCCCAGAGGTCTTGCAATGATCTTTTGAGGTCTACCTTCGTTAATGTCTGTGAGTTCAGTGATATATGTCATGACATAACACACGTTTTCTGGTTAAGAGATCTACTGACAGTTATTTTGATTGATTTATGTTATTATTTTTTTTTATTATTTTTGTTATCACAGCTTCATCATGTAAAATATCATATACGTATATATAAGTATATATATATCATGTAAACATATCCTCTCACAGGAGGCACATTTTTTAATTGTTTTTCCTTGCTTGGGATGATTTCTGGAGTTCAGTATCTGAGAAGATGTTTTTGAACAAAACATTACTTATAACTGGACATCACACCACAAAGACATAAACTATTACAAGGCTATATATATATTCATATTCTGACTTAATAATACTTTCTATTTACATTGTTATTTAAGTAAAATTGAATTGAACTAAATATACGCATTGTATAGTCACATGTAGTACATAAGTCAGCTATTTTTTAAACTCATGATATGAAATATGTATAAACACATATCTATAGTATACAAGTAAATCCATTGAAAATAATCTTGTGTATTATAAGTAGGTGTTTTTAACTGTAACACTCCTTCACTCTTTATATATGTTTTCTATTGTATTACATGTATAAATTTATATGGACATATATAGAGTCATATAATCTATAAACCAATCTGCTATACAAATGTAGATATACAAAGAGTCATATAATTTATAAATCAACCTGCTATACAAATGTAGGGGAAAGCTATACCACATAAGAAGGTAAAACAAGAAGTCTTAATCTAAAATAGTTACAGATTTATGTCATATGAATAGGTAATCATTAATTCATGGGTGATGAAAAAAAACACCTATTAAATGGGTTTTTTATGTAAATATATTTTCCCACTCTGTCTTGTCTTTTTGATGCACAAAAAAATAAAGTATTTTGTAAGTAAAATAAGGAAGTTGAGAGGTTGTAATGTGACAATGTTAGCTGTATATCCAAACAATATCATTTTCAGATCAAAAACTATTGTTGTATTTGTTTTTTGTTTTATCCATTCTTCTAGTTTGGTCTAAATGACCTGAGCTTCATTACATTCCCAAAACATATGTTCTAAATCTTCACATTATTTTTGCGTAGGTTACACTTGTCATCATTTGATATGCCAATCTTTTTCAAATATTTATTTACTGGTAAAATTTGATTTTGTTTTATATCTTTGGTAGTCTTAAAGGGTAGTAAATGAATTGTATTCCAGTTCAAATATTAGAAGATAGGATTTGATTTCCATTTAATTTCTGATGTATTGACTATATTTTTGTGGTTTTGCTCTGTAAGCGTATATTGTTATTCAGATATATATTACATTTTTTAATCACAAATTTAATGGAAATCATTCGATGTTACAGAAAACTTGTCTTTGAATTCTTCAAACTTTAGAAATGTTCCATCTCCTTTCATTATGTCCACTACTGTATTTACACCTTTCTTATGCCAGTCTTCAAAATAAAGGTATTGATTCCCTATCTTAAAGTTTAAATTGTACCATGAAGGGGAGGTAAGAAGGATATATTTAAGTTTTCATAGAAACCTTCACCACATTTTGAAAGACACTGTATGGGATATATTCCATGTTCAAAAATATTTTTCCATTCCCTATCACTAGATGCCAATAGTTTTCTTACCGTAGTAGATTTTAAACTATCAATTAAATTCCCTATAACTATCATTTTTAAACCTAATTTGTTGTATTGTTTAAATTAGAGTGTTCCTTTTCACTTTATCAATAGGTCAATGCCACATAAATTTAAAAAAAAATAGTATTCAATGTTTTAATAAAAGCTCTGTCTGGATTCGGTATAGTCATAAAGAGATGAATCATTTTTGAAAGTATTAATGTTTTTAAAACAGTTATTCTACCTATTGGTGTTAGTATTCTTTTTGACCACTGCAGTTATGATTTATCTTAATTTTGTATAGCTTTATCATAGTTAATGTTAGTCCTTTCATCTAAGTTGACAGAGTAATCTATTCCGAGAAGGTTAAATTTCCCCCCTTTTAATTTAATTTTATATATGGTGGTAGACGTCTTGATTGAATTTTTTACTTCCTATCCATATCAATTGTGTTTTGTCACTATTTACATTAAGACCTGATATTTGAGCAAATAAATCTAACATTTGGAGTGTCTCATTGAAAGATTTCCTAGAACCATTTAAAATAAGAGATGTGTCGTCTGCAAACTGTGAGAGCTTGTGGTCTTTATTCCCTACTTGGATTCTCTTAATTTTTGTATTGTTTTTAACCATAATTGCCAATATTCCTTCCACAGGTATGAAAAGATATGGTGAGACAGAGTCGCCCTGTCTTTATATATAGTGTATTGATCTAATGTCTGATACTCGGTCCAAAAAATAAATAAAAAATACTTTGTCGAGAAACTTATGATACTGAGTCGGAAGCCTTTTCAAAATCTATTACAACCAATAATCTGGGAATTTCATTTGGTTGGTTTATGTTATGATTTCGGTAAATGCCATGCCAGTGTTTTTTAATCGTTGGTTTAAATGGCCTCAATCTTTTTTAGTTGAAATAATCAAATACATTGATCCCTATCCGGAACATACTGTAATATTACATTGAAATAAAATTATTTCTGTACAATGTGTTGAAATTACTTTATCCTTCACCATTTCATTGCAGATATCTTATTGATTATTGATTTGACGTTATATGTATTAATCTATTTCTACCATTTTTTAGTCATGTCAATTACAACACAACAGCCACTTCCACTGTGCTGATCGAGTACGTATTGGTGTTTTTTTCAAGAAGCGGTAAATATACCATTTAGAAATTTGGGAATTTGAAAATAACATTGGGTTAATTAGGACTTTTTGAAGCTTATATTTATATATATATACCCGAATACTCGATAAAATTATCACTTGAAAAAGACAGTTTAATGAATCATGTTTTAAAGAACGAGGATAGTTCTTTTCGAAATTACCATATAGTTCTATGTTTTCGAGGGCTCAGGGGATCACATTGACCTAAATCGCCGTGTTTTTATTTCGTTCATCAACGTTTACCGATTTGATTTTATCAGAGATTCCAGCTCAGCTGGTACGATAACCAAGGTGGTTCTATGCCATACATGTACCGCGACGTTCTTCGTCTTTCCCTTGGTCAGTTCTTCAGAAGCCAACCTTTTTCCTCTGAAAGCTTTTATCCTTATAACAGGCTGGTCGGATTTAAACTTTAAAATGTTTGTTTTTACGCAAAGTGAAATATAAATTCTAACTGTACAAATATCATACACGGCCAGATTTTTATCTATATATACACTTGTTTGCTGAGACATATATTATTTTGTGTTTGTTAGAAACATTGCCATGGTGTGTGTCACGAAAATATGTCCCCTGAAGAACGCCAAGTTTGCTGTTGTCACACACAGCACTGTATAGACAGTAAGTTACACAGCCAAACAATAACATACATCCACCAAACAAAGGTCGAAATAGCCAAACAATAACATACATCGACCAAACAAAGGACGACATAGTCAAACAATAACATACATCCACCAAACAAAGGACGACACAGCCAAACAATAACATACATCGGCCAAACAAAGGACGACATAGCCAAACAATAACATACATCTACCAAACAAAGGACGACATAGTCAAACAATAACAGACATCGACCAAACAAAGGACGACATAGCCAAACAATAACATACATCCACCAAACAAAGGACGAAACAGTCAAACAATAACATACATCTACCAAACAAAGGACGACATAGCCAAATAATAATATACATCCACCAAACAAAGGACGACACAGCCAAACAATAACATACATCGACCAAACAAAGGACAACATAGCCAAACAATAACATACATCGACCAAACAAAGGACGACATAGACAAACAATAACATACATCGACCAAACAAAGGACGACACAGCCAAACAATAACATACATCGACCAAACAAAGGACGACAGATTTAGGTGATGTCATGCACGAAAAAGTAGTCATCTGTCAAACAATGATAATCATCTTGAACCACGTCTTTTTACATTTGTTATTTTAACATTATACTCGATTTCGAAACAGATGACATGGAAATATATCTAACGACTAGCGAAGATCTCTAGATGGCCTTATTAGCGTCATCACGGAATTAGATTATTAGTTATAAGTCCTTGGCGTTATGAATGAAAGAGTACTTGAAAATGAACCGGTTGGAAACTCCGGCTCAACTATATTGGTGCGTCATGGCACGCGCGAGGGGGATTTAAAATCCGGAATTCGATTGATCAACATTGAAATCATTGCATCATTCATAACAATACTTTAAAAAAAAAAAATGAAAATGTCACACATTTTGTACAATAAACGTTTTCCTTTCTTATTTAAAAATATGTATTACATGTATAAGGATTGGACATGCTAATGATTTGGTCTGTCAATATATAGACCGAAAACCGACGTACATCTTTGCATAAACCGCTTCGCAGTTAAATCAGAGTGCACTTCGGTTTTCGGCCTGTACATCGATAAATCAATTTATTATCTAGTCCAAAGCTCATAAAAAGACTTCTGTGGAACGTAATGTGCTTCACTAGTCACGTATCTCAAAGCACAGGTACTAGCCTCATCTGTCCAAACACCTATACTATAACGAGGCTAGTACCTGTGCTCAAAGCACAATGGAGTGGAGAGAATTATAACATTGCGGTACATTGTTTCATATCTATTACCAGGTTAATTTTTAAAAACAAATCCAAGGGCTTTTGTGTGTGTGTTTTAAAAGAAATAGAAGAAATAAAACAAGTGTCATTTAACTTCCTCGCCTAAACTAACATACTACTATTCTGATTAAGTAAACACTTTGCATACAACATGGACTTAAGAGAACCGCACATAAGATCTCTCACCAAATATTATATTGATTAACAACGGGAGATATTTTTGTTTCAGCCTTCTTAAGTCACGTCCTCCCGGTAAACCCCTTTGCAAATTTAGGTAAGTATACTTATTCCTAAGAAAGAGCATTATACAAACCACCACCTGCCGTTTTTGATTGACATTTTCTCTTACTTTGGTCCATGAATACGTTTATGTGGAGAGGAAACAATTGCATTGAAGCATTGAAAGTTCCTTAGAAAATTGCTTTTTTATAAACATTTTTATGAAATTAATTTTGCTTGATAAGGTGCAGGTATTACATGCGGGCCTGACATATGTAGCACAGCAGAAGAACCGGTAAGTTGTGTGCTGCCCATACTACTACTCTCTGAAAGGTACTGTAAATATGTTATCATCCTATGAAATCGGCGTGACATGTCTAATACAAATGTATTTAAAAGTTGGTGTTATGATATGCTGACAAAGAAAGTCAACTTCTCAGGATAACCCGCCCGTTTATGACGACAGGAATATGAACATTCACAACAGAAAACGGAGACAAAGACTTATACAAAATATGCTGTTGTGATTGTATATTCCCTCGGCTAGCTTGTAACCAAAGGCTATTTTTTATCCTTATCTTGAAAACATGAGGCCAGGTGAATTAATACAAAGAAATCAGAATAAATCTCTGCATATACACTTTAGTCTGAGGGCGACGTTGACTACTCACTAGAGAACCACGTATTGGAAGATACATTAGTAAATTGTCTGTCGTAAAATTGACATGTTTTACCGGATTACACAAAATATATTGTAGGCTTTTATTTAGAATATGTTTATTTTTTCAACAATACAGAAACGTTCACTTGACAAAGCTTCACTAAATACCATGCTATATAGAAAAGCTGCGCCCATTCCTTCATTTACCTTAAAACCAGCAAGACTTTCTATACGTTCAACAAAATTTGGACTACTCAAGGAACGAAACATATTTAATCATTGCGATACTAAAACATTTCCTCGGCAAAGAAAGACAACTCTGTCTGGCATAACTATGATAGAACACTAGTACGTCGCTTCAAACGCAAATATCGCAAATAAAGTTGATTGCATTGCACATCGTGTGCGGGATGATACCATTTATATCTGTACAGTGTTACCATTTCAGTTTTGTGTAATACATCACGGAGGATTCGAATGCGATCATGTAAGTACGTGCACATCTTTATGTGACTTTCATAATTATTTTTTCAGCAATGACAGGTTTATTGTTTTAATAGCGTTCATTGTCTGGCGCGTAGTATTCCGCGGAATCCATTAGTATTTTCAAATTCACTATCCAATGGATGGAAGAAGCCTTCCAAAATATTGGACCATTCTTGAGATGTTCTTGTACCTTTACATTAAGGGTGATATGGAGTTATCCAGTAACTACTTGTTCAGCAGGATTATAGTTTATGGAAATGCAGAAACATTAATCTACTGTAGGAGAATGTAATCTATTGTCCTCTTCACTAAGCTGTTGTATGAATTGCTTGGGGTCAAAAAAAAATGAAGCAATTTTTTAGAATGATTTTAAAAGTAACTGGTGAACTTTTGTTATCTGAAAAACGGTTGTATGATAGCCTTGACGTACTAACCAATCACTTTCAAAAGAATGTTTTATAAATGAGAATTTCTTTTGTAAGACATTTATAAATGATTAATAAAATAATATTTGGATACTCTGAGCATAACAATGTAGCAGTTTATAATAAAATCATTTTTTTACGTGTGAGTCTCCTTACAATAGTTAACGATAAATATGAAGCTGCTGTGATGTGAAATAGCTATGTAACAATACAAATATTTATGCTTATTGATATTATTTAGCATTGTGATGAGCACCATATGTGTGAACCAACACCACCCATGCATAATGGGAACGTCGCGGACTGTTGCTGTAAGGATCAGGCATGCGTCGACTTTATCACTAGTAAGCTATGAACAAATTAAATAGAGTTTAATCCACTGTTTGAGATTCAACAATAATCATCATAAAAAGGGTACTTAAATGTATCTTGGTCAAAAGAGACCTTGACATGTATAACTATCATGTTGATAGTTCTTAGTATCTTGAAATAGTATTTGTGGCTTGTAAATCAATGCTATTGTTGAAACTTCTTTTTTCAAAGTGTTAAACAAGGTGAATTTCTTATTTTAGTTCATTTGAAAATTAAAGCAACAGTTCTCCAGAAGTAGAATCCAATCATGTGAAATAAAGTCGGGCGTTATAACATATCTGCCTACGATCTTACAGCCAGTACCGCCTATTACTGAAAATAGAATAATACTGGAGAGAACTAAGCCAAAACATTGTGTATACTTTAAACAGACGAGCTGCAGTAAACACGTATTGCCAGAAAACCTAGATAAACAGAATAAAGTAAGACATTTCTATACTTAATCAGGTAATTACCACGTGGAAATGGCGGGTGTAAAATGTCCAGATTGTCCAAATGTTCAGCATAACGAGTGTCATGGAGATCTACATCACCGCTGTCCGCCTCATGAACTATGTAAAGTTAAGACCAACGATATGGGTATTTTATCAACAAACTGTCAAAGGGTGAGTACTGGTTTTGGCACTGGCGTTTATATTTTTCTTTATTGTATTGTTTTAATTGCATGCTGATATTAAAATAAGTAACTAACTAACTAACATAACCATACATGTAGCCAAAATAGTGTTAGCCATCATCTGTTTTACAGTAACAATCTATATACATATATCTAAAAGATAAATATAGCTTTAAGCACCTGCAAGCTAAATCAAAAATAGATAATTAAGTACTTACAAACTTTTTCTAAAATATCCATTTAAATTCCACCAAATTTTATCTAAAATATAGATTTTAGTACTTACAAACTTTATCTTAACTATAGATTTAAGAACCACCAAACTTAATCTAAACGATAGATTTAAGTACCTCCAAACTTTATCTTGAGTATAGAGTTTTGTATTCCAACTTTGCAAGTTAATTAATTCGTGATGATGTTATATGTACTTTAACTGTTTAACGTCTGATATAGTTAGAATCCGGCGACAAGGATAATGATATTACACATATATTTATCGAGGCTGTAGGCTATAGGAATCTCGCACTGTTTTGACAGACGGTAACACGTTCCTCTAACTACGTTGGAGTTTTTCATTTTGTGCCTTGCAAACATTCACCAAACATTTGTTATTATGTTTATATCGTAAGGCATTGCCGTTTATTAACCGAGACACAACTAGCGACTGTGTTTAGGTCTCTAGGCATCGGTAGCGATAAGATGTCTGTAACTACCTTTATTTCCGCTCTGAAAAAAATATGTTTTTACAATTGTATAATGTTCCCTATAATCAAGTAACTTTCAAGCTACACGCATAGGTTCCTCATAAACTACACTGCCTGAATGGGTTTGATGCCAAGGTAAAGATGAACGCAATATGTGTTAAGCGTTTTGATGCAATGAAAGTATGTTCTGTATTTTACTATTTTCCCCTGTTGTTGTTTTTCTACATATATAAACATTTTTTAGAATGACGATTGTCTCAGAGAACAACTTGCGGGTGTTTTCGGACCTGACGCCAATGACCAGTTCTGCTGCGCTACACAAACGTGCATACTCAATGCAAAACGACAAGCCTGCAAGTATTCCATGTCAAAACAAGTACATTACCAGTTTATATTATGGAGACAGACATATGAAGTAGGGCTTACAATTAACACTCGCTTTCAGTGCAACAGGACTTTTCTATTCTACATCAAAACTGAACAAACTATTAGTGTGTACTCTGTATCGCCGTTGCCGCTCTTTAAGACTTTAAATACTAGACCTGTTTGTGGGAGGTTATAGATTATTTTAACACAATTGCAATGTAATGACACTCTTCATTGGTTAATAACCATGGCTTATTGGACGGTAGACCATGCGCGTGCGTGTATTATTTTCCAATAGACCAACGCTCTTCCAAACGTTTCCCCCTCAACTGTACCAGTAGTGCCTGTGACTAGAAGTAGTGTTTGTACATCTGTCAAATGCCGATTTCAGCGGCATTCGTTAATTATTTTTCCAACATTTTCTCACCCTCGTTATATATTCCACCATATAAAACGCATATACGTTGACTATCTTCTAAGAAATGATATTATGACAATAAACGATTCTTTAAAAAGTACAATGCCATACATCCAAAGAAGAAATCAAGCACATTGTTCTGTAATTAACAATATAATATATCCCCACCTAAACGTTTCAGGTTAATGTACATTTTTTTTTACAAATTATAGCAATAATCAAATGTATACTGTGTTCTAAGCAATACTCGTATGAATATAAAATATCTTAGCAACCTAACGTTTTAAATAAACGAAATTCGCCATGTTCAGAGAAACGCTATTTACTTTTTCACTATCAACTTCCATCAAAAACCAACACGCTTTAATTTTCTTTATCAGTGGGAATAACAACAACAGCAACAACTGTCGTGCCAACACCTGCCCAAACTAATGCGCAAATGGCCTCGACCCAGCCCCTTCCCACAGCAACGCCCCTACCCACAACTACAGCCAAGCCCTTACACTGTCCAGTGTGCACTGACGCTTTTACCGGAGACTGCCCGCGAAATGCACTTTGTGCCTCGGATGAGGGGTGCTTGCTAGTCGTTACCGCTGGCAAATTACAGACTGGATGTAAAGAGGTACCGTCGATTTTAAGACAATCTCTTTACGCTTCGTTTACCCGTATTTTGTTTTAATAATAAGCAACATTCAACGTTCTATTCCAATGAGTAAAACTACATTTTATCACATACCTGTTGAATCTTGTTATAGAAATACAAGCAATTTTCAGACCATGAAATACAACGTTCTGTATGTGCAATACGGAATGTTGTATTTACCTACTAGCCGGAACTACTTTTTATGGGAATCCCCTTGTCATGGCGAACTGAAAAGTTCCCGGTATTTGCAAAAAATATCAAAGTTTATAAATTCAAATAATCGATATCTACCAAATACGGAAGTATGTGATAAAAGCAAGACCACACACTCGTGTTTTTCTATCCAATCAGAAAGCACTCATTTATTGCACGGACGTATATATTCACTAGTGCGCTCCGCGCACTCGTGATTATGTTCGTCCGCGCAATAAGCTCGTGCTTTCTGATTCGTTAGAAAAACACAAGTGTGTGGTCTTGCATATGTATAAGGTTACGAAGGCTCTGGAACATATGTAACTGACCCTCAAAGGGACACTTTTATTCCTCTCCACTCATAATAGGAACAATTTCAACAAGAAATGTAAATGGAAAGGCCACCAAAAGGATGATATTTGTACTGATTTATTTAAAATTATATTGAAAAACGAAAAAATACAATGTAGTTGCAAATATACTAAACAACTACAACCAAAATATAACCAAAAATCATAGCTAGCCTAGGTGGTGTTAAATGATAGAAAAAACAGTTCGTGTCGCATCAAACGTTAATTAAAAAAATAAGGATTTGGTAAATGTTTTAACGTTAAACTATTCGTGTGACCATAATGAACAGCGAATAAAGACAATATACAATTAAATTGACATAAGCCAAACATGTTGAAAATGTTGCACGCATAAAATACCTTTTCGAATTTTCATGCCATTTTCTTGGGCCGTTTTACCTTGAATGTTCCGTTTTTGGTACACTGACATAGGCCATTTGCAATTTTCCAACGTATTGGATATATAGGTGAGTAACTCTTCAAATCATAAACCGAAACACGTGTAATAAGAAGGTTTTACTGAAAAAATCTTTTCTATTCTGAACGATATTTGGTACGTTTTAGCAGATGATATTTAAGTGTTAAAAGCGTAGAACATTTGTTGTTTAAAACATTTATTATAAGCGAAATATTTTGGTGGTTTTTTTGCAGCTTAAGAGTCCATTCTCATCCTAATAATGACATACATACCGGTCATTCTAATGCGGAAAAATGTTGAAATTTATAAATGATACAGTGTTGGGGAATAGCATATTGTTTTTAATAAAATGAGAAATTACTTGTTTGCCGTTTAAACGTCATTTTATAAATAATGAACCACATTTTGTTAAACCATGGCAAACAGTATTGGATAATATGGAGTTCCGAAAAACACCAATTACCTAACGTATGCCTAAATAATTTCGTTAACGTATACACAAAGCAATGTGAAATATTTTGAATATGTACTTAATAGAAATTTCACATAACATCGAATAAAAAAAGTAAAAACGGCAGTGTAAACAGCATCCTCGATTTCCAGGTGTTACGCTCATTTACGCTCTCTGCACCCCTTGAATGTGTCATAGCAAAATCGAAGGCTCAGTGTGCGCCACCTTGTTGACGAGACAAGAAGGCTAGTTTGATCATTTGATGTACATCAAAATAATCTCTCGGTGGCGTAACGGTAAAACTTTGAAGTCAGGCGTCGCTCCTCTGTATTCTTCAAAGAACAACCATCAGTCTAGTGATTGGTCAGGGATTTTTACTTGAGACCAATCAAATAGCTAGCTTCGTTCCTTCAATTTTGCTATGACATATTCCAGGGGTGTTGAGATCGAAAGTGAGCGTAACCCCTGGATATCGAGGATTCGTAAACAGTGGTACGCTAATATATCAAGATTCATAAACAGAAAAACCAGAAACACAACATATTCGAGAAAAAGTACTGATATTCTATCAAAATATTTACATATTTTGCTAGATATATAGATTTACAGTTATTGATACCAATCAAGCCATGTATGAACCTATCCATAACGATCATTTCCGGTGCATACTACTCTTCAATAGCGTATAATTTGCGATAAGTGACACACGTTTAGTTAGACATTTTTGAAATGAGTAAACACTTATTTACATCATAATTCGTTTCTACATCAACACGATTATGTCTTTTCAAGAAACACTTTAGTAATCCCTTCACTTACCAATACCATCACGAATAAGGCGTTTGACGGACAATGAATTTACAATCATGTTTCATATTATAAATTATTTCTGAAACCACCATGTTAAGTATGAAATCCTCTGAAATAAAATAACGAAAAAGATGATTCCAGAAAGTACTTTTACACTTACTTATATATTCCTGAACCGCTATCTTTACGAGTTAGCCTTTGGAAAACCCATAGAAAACATCATCCTTCTAGAAGCATACATTCCATTTCATTATTGATACATTCCTGTACCAATAACGATTTAATCCTTCAAGGTTCAAATGCAAAGACAATTAATCAATGCCAAATCATTTAAACTACAAAATTTACAAAACAAAATTCGTAAAACATGAACAATCTGTATTAGATTATATGAGCTTTATTTGCTTCATTCAGATAAGTGATTGCAAATACCACGAGAGGATAGGCGACAGTGTGTGTTGTACGGACAAGAACTGTACCGATAATGCCTTCAAACAAATGAATGATAGTAAGTATCAATTTGATAAAAACATGTTTGCCTACTTTGTGTAGAGTATTTGGGAATTATTTCATCTGAATAAATTCCTACCGCCTTAGTGTTTGTAATGTTATGAGCATCCATAAATTTAACTGAGTAATTAATTTGCAATAAATAAATCTTCGATTTTTCCCCTCAGTGGCCTTTACTTGTCCAACGTGCGAGCACACACAGGATCCACAATCATGTATGAACACGCAAGGGAAATGTTCTTATCTGAGTAAGGTAAGGTAAAATTCTTCACCCACAATATTTTAATCAAACATATTATCATAGCTTTATCGTTTGAAATAACTCTCAACTTAGTACTATAGATAAATATCACATGTTTATGTCTATGTACTCTTGCTAGATATTAACCTAGATAGTTTTGATTCAGGGCTGCATGATCACACATTCCCAGAGCGGTTTATCATCTGGCTGCAATACACATAAAACGGTAAAGTTTTATTTTCAATCGTTTATTTTCGATGGAATATTATTTTAGCTTTAACTCGCAACGAAGGTTTACCTTTGATCGATTGCTTTTCCATGGAGTATCACTTTAGCTTTAACTCGGAAAGAGCATCGTATCCAAATGTATTCTTCCATAATTTCATGAAAATAATATATCTAAATGGTTTATTTTAATGTCCATACAACATATATTGGCTAGGAATGAAACATCAACTGGATAGAAAAAATCATGAAACAAAGAAGTACAACATACCCATTGCTATGTGGATAATAATTAACATTTGGTTTCGACTTGATATTTCGTTCAGCACTGCCAAAGGGCGGAAGATCTTAACTCCGTACTATGTAACGTGCACCCGATCCCGTTTGCGTACTCACCAGGACTCCAATGTAGCTTCTGCTGTCATAAAAATGATAGCACGTGTGTACTAGACGCGCTGGGAATCCATGATGGTATATATAATGTTTGATATGTTGTCCTGACTAAGTCTTTACTTGATCGTTTCAAGTTTGCGATTCGGCTCTAAAGTAGTGATTTGCTATTATTCTTTTTAGCGAAAGAGACTATTAATATATCCCTTGTTTGAAATTGAGATCATGTTGCTTTGCAAAATAACACAAAATATAAATAAATTTATAAAAAAATACACATATATCGTGCACCAATGTTAACAGTGTTGTGAAAATATTACATCTGAATTTATTGAAAAACTATCCATTTTTATAGGATAATTTATTTTTTGTTTCATTCCGTTGAAATATTCATATGTTTTAAAATTGAAATAAATATTTGGAATTCATTATCTTTGTAATACATTAATCCATTGCTATGTAATGGCTATCCGTTGCTTCTCTGTATAAAATGTTGTCATTGTTGGTACGGATATTGACGCTTACTAAATTCAATGCTTTGAGATTTCTTTGCAATATCCTCATATTAAAATAGATAATTATTGTACCTCTCTCATCATCTAACTACTTTTAAAACTTTCCAGTTTTTCTATTTACAGATTGCCAATTAAATATGAGTCTTTTTTTAATGTCGTCATTGTTGATTGGCAATGCCATTCTAGTGCTTCCTTTTCATTTCGTCACTGTGAATTATCTGTAAGGTTGATTGTGTCACTCTTTGATTATGTCATCGTCGATTTGGTATGTGGTTCATCGCAACATGTTGAATGGATATGAGGTTCATTGCATAACTCTTTTAGAAGTCATCGTGTTGAATGGGTAGATGTTAATTGCGTCACGTTTGTGAAGTCATCGTGTTGAATGAGTAGATGTCCATTACGTCACTCTTTTCTATAGCGTCATTAATGATTAGATACAATATCGTTTCTTCACTGTTGTAACCAATAATACTGCGTTGACTAGCCATTAATCTATATTTTATACTGTACGATTTATACAAAACGCATGTTCTGCTAAATGCATTATAGTGACCCCGCCACCGACTTCTGATCCTGCAGCTGGAACTTCAGGTATAGTTTGTGATCATCATCCTCGCATTCCTACATCTATGTTCACTTGACATAATTGTCTGTTACTTTTTTAAGTGTAATTATGTTATGGTGTTTGATTTTAAACGGTAAAAATGGTAAGGGTAAGCGTTTCGAGAGAGACACTGCAAGTATAACATCTGTATATGAGCGAAATGATTATGAAAAGAGACACTAAAAGCATAATATGTATACATGAACTGTGTGTTTGTCAAGAGAGACATCAAAATTATGACAACCGACTAACGGTAGATGTGTCTAGAGAGATACCGCAAGTATAACAGCTGTAAATAAACGGTATATGTGTCTAGATAGACCGGAGTATAACAGCTGTAAATAAACGTTAGATGTGTCTAGTTAGACCGAAGTATAACAGCTGTAAATAAACGGTATATGTGTCTAGATAGACCGAAGTATAACAGCTGTAAATAAACGGTATATGTGTCTAGATAGACCGGAGTATAACAGCTGTCAATAAACGGTATACGTGTCTAGATAGACCGACGTATAACAGCTGTAAATAAACGGTATATGTGTCTAGTTAGACCGAAGTATAACAGCTGTAAATAAACGTTAGAGGTGTCTAGATAGTCCGAAGTATAACAGGTGTGAATAAACGGTATATGTGTCTAGATAGACCGAAGTATAACAGCTGTAAATAAACGGTATATGTGTCTAGATAGACCGAAGTATAACAGCTGTAAATAAACGGTATATGTGTCTAGATAGACCGAAGTATAACAGCTGTAAATAAACGGTATATGTGTCTAGATAGACCGAAGTATAACAGCTGTAAATAAACGGTATATGTGTCTAGATAGACCGAAGTATAACAGCTGTAAATAAACGGTATATGTGTCTAGATAGACCGAAGTATAACAGCTGTAAATAAACGGTATATGTGTCTAGATAGACCGGAGTATAACAGCTGTCAATAAACGGTATATGTGTCTAGATAGACCGGAGTATAACAGCTGTCAATAAACGGTAGATGTGTCTAGATAGACCGGAGTATAACAGCTGTAAATAAACGGTAAATGTGTCTAGATAGACTGAAGTATAACAGCTGTAAATAAACGGTATATGTGTCTAGATAGACCGGAGTATAACAGCTGTCAATAAACGGTATATGTGTCTAAATAGACAGAAGTATAACAACTGTTAATACACAGTATATGTGTCTAGAGAGGTACCGCAGGTATAACAGGTGTAAATAAACGGTATATATGTCTAGATAGACCGAAGTAAAACAGCTGTAATTAAACGTTAGATGTGTCTAGATAGACCGAAGTATAACAGCTGTAGATAGGTTGTAGGCGTGGAATGCTGAAAACATAACAGCTGAAATAGAAAGTATACAAAAGCTGTAGATAATTGATATAGATATCCCATATCTTGTAACGAACGCATCAACTATATGTCTTGAGAGTCTTTTAATATATAAATATATAAACTTTATTTATTTTACAACAATTATGAAACACATTTTTATAACTTATGCTTATCACTCTTGTTAGCCGGGATGTTAACGCGCGTTATAAATGGTTCGGAATGTATTTAGAGATTGACCGGAAATACTTACAAAATAAGACAAGCTTAAAAGCTTGCTGCAAACTATATGACTGGAAAACACAAAACAATTAAAATAGTTTTAAGGTCCCCTCACTTATGTTTGAAATATAACTGTAACTGTTCATTTCTATAATCTAAATTACAAATTTTCGTTAATTCTATTGATAATCCAAAAGATTACATATTTAAAAAAAAAGAAATATCATTCGACAATGGATGGGGTCCTCCTGGCTAACAAGGGAAAACATAAGGGTTTCCTCAATATCAAACTGTAAGGTATTGTCGCAATAGTTGGTTATTTTAAACGACCCCATGACGAATTTTACTTTTTAAACTAAGGACACAGCTGTTTAATTCTATATGGGATAGGAATCAGAATTAATATACCGATGTTTGTGATTTGTACTCTCAGTGTTCATAATAATCAAGTAAAATATGGATTATAGTTTCCTCTTACAGTTGTGCCCGGATATGGCGCGATTGACGCGGGATATATTACACAAATACAGGGTAATGCTGTATAGCGTAAGGGCTCAAATCAACAACGAAATGTAATTATTTCTTTGATAACACTCGCGTTCAGCAATAGATTGAAGGAGTTATTTTGCTGAATATAGCCATTGAATAGTCAGAGCTGTTCTTATTCCATCTTGTATGGTTTTAATTTTCAGCTTTATGTGCTGACCATGAAGACGCGAGCTTTTCGTGTAAAACCTACGACACACAGTTTGGCCTGTGCTCCAGTTCTAGTCCGCTGATGGTCCAACTTGTCAACACTAAGTGTCGTAAGACTTGTGGCCAATGTCCAGGTAAGTGTTAACAACCAATGACTACCATCGGACATTATCTATACACGGAAAACTAATAGCAATCTTACACTGACGCTGAAATACCTGTATCATAATTAAATGGGCTACACAGGTTGTATGTGTAGTCTTAAATTGAAACTGTTGAAACATTTCTATATTTTGAAAGCCTCGTGAGATTAATCACATATTGTTTTACTTTCAGCTGCTGTAACAGTGGCTATCACCACAGGTAAAAAGCTATGTTCAGTAATTTAGAATAATGTGAACAGTTACATTCCTGACGTAGGCATTCTTTGGAGAATTCTGTTCAATTTGGTATTACCACACGTTACAGAACCATATCAGGTCATTTAAAAATATTTTGAGTTAATTTTGTTTTTGTTTTCATGTATATTTATTGAAGAAAACGGATAAAAAAAATAATAAAAAAGGAAAAAAAATAATATCTTACTTATGGCTATTCTTAGTTAAACTATATTTATGAAATCGAAAATATTTTTTCATGTTTATACTGAGTTTAATTTGAAGCAGGACATTTGTAGTTACTCCATATAAAAAGTATAAGAACTTGGTTTATATAGTTAAATTCTCATTTTGATTTTGTCTAAGAAGTACACTGTTATTATTTGCTTTTTAATGGGCTTATTTTGTGTGCAGTGATTAAAAAGGAAGATATGTAACATTGATAAAAGCTGGAGAAATTTTACGTCGTGAAATTCCTGTTTTCAAATTCATTTGAAGGCATTGCTTCTGCCGTTATAAACAAAGTGAATGTAACACACTACCTATTTTCAGTGTTATGTAAAATGTAGCTTTGTAATCATTTAATTACGGCTTTTTGTTTACGGGGATTTCAAGAATAGTCTCCATGTAAGGGGATGCTATCCGAGAACTAAGCCCGTGAGGAACTCTCACTGAGAAACTATATGGATATCCTCCTGCATTGCCGCGGGTAACATACCATCACGGAGGACAATGAAGGTTGTTCCCTCCGGTTGCAGACCACACTTTTGGATTTTTGTTTCCAACGATGTTTATTTTACAGTATTCGTGTTTTATTTTAGTTGTATTAAAATAAAATGTAAAATGGGCGTTTCTAGGAGAAATATTCTGTGTGGGCTAAAGTCTTTTATGTGGACAATTGTGATGATAACGTCAAACAAATCCAAAAGTTTCATTCGTAGCTGATACATGTATGAATGCTATCTGCATATAAGCATCGTACTAATACAAGTTATTTCAGTATACTGAATGATTGACAGTTGTTATCTTTTACAGAAAACGCGAAGCTGAAACCTCTTACGAGACAAAAGAAAATCAATAATATAAATTGAAATTGTGTTCGTCTATTTTCTTTTCAGGATCGCCTATCCAATGTGTGGACAAAGTCGGTACGTGCTCTGGAATGGCTAGCTTTTTATGTACATCAACTGATCCTTCCTCACAGACATATGCCAACGAAAACTGTGCAAAGACGTGCAATCTGTGTGTCACAATACCAAGTAGGTATATATTATTCTTTCTAGAACAGGCTACATGTTATACAGGCATTCAATGCTGAAGATTTCCACTAGTTCCTAATGGAGAAATCTTTGTTTTCATTTGCCTGTTATTTTTCTCAGACATTGTAAATGACTAACTTTAATATCGAGTTACTAGATAAACATGATTTGCAATTAGCTCGCATTAAATGTGTGCTTTCTTCACGTACCTTCAATTGTATCTTGTATACCATGAAGTAAGAGGTGTCTTTCCTCCTGCCTGGGTGAACGTCATTGTACGAGGAAAGTATCTGACTTTTACAATATATGGTATGCCGACCAAGATGTATGATGATGTCTAAATGTTTTTAGCAACGACTGTTATCCCATGCGTGGACGTTGATAGCACATGCGCTGGGATGGCTAGCTTCCTGTGTTCAAGCACTGATCCTGTCTCACAGGCTTACGCCAAGTCACACTGTGCTAAGACGTGCAACCAATGTACCACAGCACAAAGTAGGTCACTCTGAAATTCTCAAAGGAACATTAGGCATATTTAATGATTTCGATTTTTGTAATAACAGATCTTTGTTTTGACAAAATCACAGGTCATTATAATAATTATTTTATTTACCTATATGCGTAATTAGAACTATCATCAAACTACGTATTTAATGATAGCAAATATCGTCTTAAATCCATTCCTTTACAAATAAAGTTATCAAAATATATTCAAATACATGAAGGCTTACAAACTAACTAATCCTCAAGTAAGAAATTAATCGATCACCTGTGTTAAAGGTCCGACAACAACTCTGGTCCCTGTGCAGTGTGTCGATCACGACCTGAACAACAACTGTGTGACTATGGCTAACGCGCTGTGTACTTCACAAGAGCCCCATGTGAAGAATTTTGCGATTGCTACCTGTGCTAAAACGTGTAATCTGTGCACAGAATACAACCGTAAGTAGAATACACGACTGACATGGACCCTTGCTATGATATGATTTTCTGTCAAGTAATTTATAATTTTGTCAAATAATACGGAACGGCCGGGAGATACATCCCATAAATCAATAAAAGTATCCACATTAACTGTTTCGAAGTTTAGAGTGTTTGTTTCCAATTCCGGAATCATAATGTTTTTAGTGAAAACCGATTACATATTCCCCTCAGCTTTCTTTTTTTCTAATTGTTGAGAATATCAGAATATACGTTTCTGATGCATTGAGCTTTTAATTCGTGTGATTAATATCTAGTTATACAAGATTCTGTATAGTATTGAAGCATTTTTCATTTCATTAATTGAATTATTTGTCTTTTATAATTTTACGGAGTTCTGAGGAGTTGCGTCCCTTTTTTTTTATATCAGGTGATTAACTTTGTCCGACGCTCTGCTAACCTTTTGACCGATATTCGTATTTGGTTCTCATGCTTAGTATTGCTTTGTCTTTCAATAATTTTGGTCAGGAGTTACGTCCCTTTTGTGAAATATCCTGATGAATATTAGTCAAAAGTAGTGCTACTTAGCCTCCTGACCTTTATTTATGAAACAATAGTACCTTGGGTAGATGTGCGCTTGCTTATTACTTTTTTTATTTAAGTGTGTAAAATCGCCTCTTTTGTGATATCTATATTGGAGCAGAGGTGTTAGCCTATGACTTAAAGGTTGTGTACATCCTAGATAGTAGAGTACACACGGGCTATTCTCGTTATGCTATGTACTAAGTGTTATTATTAGGAACTCTGTGACGTATCATATGTAACATACTCTAAATGAAGATAATTCAAAATACACAGCAACAGCACATTCTGTAAGGTTTTGTTTTTTGCAGAACACCTCGCTGGATGTGAGTATGAATCATTCTGGTAAACATACATATATAAAGTATTGATAAAGTATTGATAATTGGAAAAGAAAGAATAAATACTCAAATAATCATGTGACATTTAAAACAAATATTGCTTAATTTCAATTATTCTTCGTTTAGACGTTAGAGACCATTACCAATACAACGTAACTGTTATTCCACGAATCGACTTTATTTAAGAAATCCGCTATGGGAAACATGTTACAAATGTTCTGTTAATTTGAAGATAAATGTGCACTAATAGCACACATGCTATTATGATTTTATTATTATCCTTAATACTGTTTTTGTCTCGTTACAGTGACGCTTCCACTGCTGGGATAGCGATCTACCGGTTAAATATATATACATGTCGTCATTATTTTGAAATAAATTTTGTTTCAATCTTTCCCATCTTTTGCTGTGTGCATTCTTTTCCCTCAATGTCAATAACATGTCGGGCCTGCTAATATTTGCCCGTTTGCCAAATGTAATACGATGTGTTTGAGAGATTTATCATTCGTAATTATAATTGTTGAGCATAACAATGCAGATTTATGATCAGCACTCTTTATGATCAGGAAACCCGCATCAGGTAGACCTTTCTTCACCTCGTGTCACTGAACATGCCAGTGCATTTTAACACGAAAGTGGTTGTTTTTGTGTTCGTTTTAGAATGGATTCATTAAACATAAATGTATAAAACTTTTGCCATTTCTTATTTTTCTCATTATTGTTATGGAATTTGATCAGGTAGAATTAGTAGCAGCAAATATATTACAAATTAGACCACCTGGAATTGTGTGGTATAGAACTGGAATCACTCCTGCTGATAACTTATATTTTTACTGATATTAATGTCTTGTAGTCGTGCTATTAACTTTAGCTCTGTGTTATCACACTGACGTGATGGCATTTGTTCGTGATTAATTTTATAACGACGTAATTTTCTGACACATTTAACAGTTGTATTCCTGTTTTTACTAAGAAATAGGTAAACACGTCTTTATCTACGAGGGTACGACAGCAGCTCACGCACGCTATCATTCTGAAAGCATCATCACCTCGGTGAAATCTAAACAACTCAGATAAGATTTATTTTTCTTAATCATTATTTTAGATGTCTTCGTCTAAATCACACAAGAGTGATATATTCTATTTATCAATGACTTGAAAAGAATATAGAACCCTGTAAACCACATTATAAACACATGGTACTGAATATGGTGAAAGCGACGTAGCAGACATGGTCAGAATAATTTTACGCCACCTATTTACTTTACAGATAATTTTGTAGTATAAGGTAAAGTGTATGTATCACATTGTTCAAACAAGTGATCTACCGCCTAGGACACAGGTTCAATTGCTTTTCCAACTGAAGTTTATAAAACGAGATCAAGCAACAGTTACCGACAGTAATAACTTGCTTCATAAATCAATTTGGCAAGTTTTCCAATTCTTCTTTTTTTAAACGAGATTGGACCTATCTTTGCCTACACCTGTCCAAAAACCACTGCGTTAAAAAAATATACGTAAAATGCAACCTATGTTTATGACCTAAAACAAATCAACTTTCACATTCTTAAACGCAAAACTCATTAAATGACGACATTTGAAGTTATTACACAATGAATAAATCAATATTGATTAAAAGGTATTTCTAAGAAATTTAAGATTCATTATTTTCTCATTTCTCATTCTATTCTCATTCTTATCTTAAATCACGCCTCAAATACCTGGTATATTATTTCTATTTTAAAGTGACAAACACAGACACAAATACATTCCAATCGATAGTAGTGAAACTTAATTGGATTAACACTTACAGGAGAATATTCGCAAGGAAATTTCGTTTAATGTACTGTTTTCCCTCTTGTCGTTGAAAAATGCTAAATTCTTAACAAAAACTTTATAACCCCGTTATCTTGATGGCACTGAAAGTCACCTAAATACCTCTGGCATTGACTAAGGTATCACACTATAACGTCTACTCACTACCAAAGTAAATGGTATTTACGTATGGTAAAGCAACAAAGGGTCACCTCACAACCAATTATAATGCATTTACGTATGGTATAACAACAAAGGGTCGTAACTAAAAATATAAGGCATTTACGTGTGGTATATCAACAAAGGGTCTTAACTAAAAATATATGGCATTTACGTATGGTATAACAACAAAGAGTCGTAACTAAAAATATATGGCATTTACGTATGGTATAGCAACAAAGGGCCTTAACTAAAAATAATGGCATTTACGTATGGTATAGCAACAAATGGTCATCTATCAAATTAAATGGCATTTGTGTACGGCATACAACAAAGGGTCTTAACTAAAAATTTACGTATGGTATAGCAACAAAGGGTCATCTCACTATCGCATTAAATGGCGTTTATGTATGGCATACATTAACACGTCTTAACTAAAAATAAACGGCATTTACGTATGGTATAGCAGCAAAGGGTGACACTACTATCAAATTAAATGACATTTGTTTATGGCATACATCAAAGGGTCTTAACTAAAAATAAACGGCATTTACGTATGGTACAGCAACAAAAGGTCAACTCGCTACCAAACTAAATGACATTTATGTATGCTTAAAGAACAAAGGGCCACCAGCAAATGATTACCGTTCAGCCGTAAACCTTGGACAATCCATGGTTATACCAAGATATTAACTTTTCCGACAATTTCCTGTTATATTTTTCCGTACTTTAGATAAATCTTGTATGTAATACGCTACGAATAACCCTAAATTTTGTACCAAGTACCATCGATAACCAACGAGAGAAAATATTTCTGCGCAAAAAGGATGTTATGACCGTATTTATACAATTAAAGATGCAATCCTACAACTGAAATGTGATTTTTCACTACTCAATGCTAGTCATGAATATCGATAGTACAACAATTGAACTGTAGCTTCTTTAGAAAAATCAGTTAGTGCCCAACATTTCCGAACTATAATGTGTCTGCTTCCTCCAAAATAAGAACAATGCAATGTATTACATTGAGAACCTTGCAAAATTACAAAAGAAATAAGACAAGGTGTTCCGGAATAGTAAGCGTATTTTGCGTCATCGATGACGGCCGCCATTTTAATCTAGGTCACATTCAGGTAATGTTCTCAAGTGAAACCAGGGTATTGACAACGAAACAAAAAGGCAAACTATTAAAACCATCGACCTTCGCATCACACAGGATATGGCATATTTCCTGATATTAAGCTCTTCGATGCCGAAACGACTTGTTCATGTTCAGAGCGGAGGTTGGGATTGAGGGAATTTACGTTTTGGAAAGGGAAATTTCGCTATCGGAATTTCGAGTAAATTTCTGGATGGTCAACACGATCAACGAAGTAAATGAATTTCTTGTTATTTTTATACACCACATGATCGATATATGTAAAAGTGAAATGAAAGGACAATACTAGTCGATAAGCCGTACCATTTCGACTTTCCGATCGTGTACTTTCCCTTTCTTTATAGTACCATCCCTGCTTCCCCTATCTACGTCGTCTACATGTCGTAGTTGATTATGTATACAAGAATTGCTCCGAATATCGTGACTTCTGTAATGGATTTCAACTGCTGATGGATTAACTTAAAATACAAGGTTTCCAAAGATGCAATTTGATGAAGACTATGGACTAAGTATTATGGTCGCCATCGGGATCTCACAGGGAGATATGCTATTTCTTTGTGTTATAAGGAGGTCGATGGTTTTATCATGCTCATAAAATAAAAGAGTATTGTGGTTTTTTTTGTCACTACCCTATTATGGATGTCCAGACGTGTAATTCCTTGGATTTTATCTAAATTCACATTGCCGGTGTCGTCGATAAAAAAGACGCTTACCCTTCTGGAACCACTGGTCTGTTTCTTGTACATTTTAAGGGGTTCCATGTAAATTTTCATTTGTTCATATTTTATCCTAGTTTTGTCTATTTTTTATGTCGAATAATGGTTTGTTGACACTTTGGTATTTTGCTGTCGTTCTTTGTCACCAGTCTTAAAAACTTTTCAAAACATCCTACCTTATTTTAAACCAAAAACAACTTGGCCAGAAGAACGCCACAGGTGGTTCCCACATAGGAATGCCTCCACAGTTTGCTGGAATATTTGCCAACTAACGTAGCACAGATTCCGTCAAGACATTAACTATATTTCAGATATCAAAACTCTATCAAACTGTTCGCGAATAGCAAAACCAGTTTTAGATTTATTTTGAAAATATATGTGAGCAAATCTATTTTTGCAATGTTTCTGTGTGACGACAAGCTTTTTCATTCTCAAGTGTATCATGACGTTAGACCAAAACAATGGATATGTGATTTGTTGACACACAATACACCAGGCAAACTATCAATCGTATACAGCACCTGTTAGGTTAACATTAGATTAAACCTTACCTTTGTTGCAAAGTAACGATTTGATTTAGATCGCAACGATATTAGTAATAAATTATTTTAAAGATATATTCAAACTTTGTGGTAAAAACAAATAGGTAGTCCTTCAATTGGATTGATCATAGCAAATATTTACTGAGAGCTTGCTTAAAATTAAGCAAATGAAATCGTCATCTGTTCAAAAGCCTTTTACTGTAGATCTATGTGTGTTTGTACTTCACGTGGATTTGTGTTTATTATATGAAAATACTTTTAATGGTAAAACAAATATCCAAGTTCATGACAATTTTTTTTGTTTCTGTATTTTTTACAGATACAACAAAAATTGTACAGAGTGGGCTGCTGGTTTTTCACTGTGATGTTATTATAAAACAGGTTTTTATATTTTTATATTTTTATATTTAATTCCTCAGCAGCGGAATCCCATGTGTATATATACATAAACCTTACTGAGGTATGCATATGTACATATAAAGTAAACATAATGGAGGTTGCCATATCTTTATAAATATCCATCCAGTTATCATTTTATTGATGTATTTGTAGCATGAGGCTAGCTATGTTCAAACATCAACTACTCAGTACTTAGAAGACATATCTTTGTGAAGGTATCAATATGTTAGTACTTCAATTTACTCAGCTTTAAATTAATTTAATACATAAAAGCTATATAATGCTATAGATTCATTAAAAATATATTAATCATTATCTCTAGCTTCATTTTTGCCACCGTATTGTATGCTTATTGTCATTTTTTTCTATCAAGGTGACCAACCAGAGTTACTTTGGAAAAGTCGAGCTTCTTTTGGTCATATATTTATTTTACATCTCTGTGTCCTCTTTAGAAAAGAAATCTGATATAAAATGCAATAATTTGTTATCAAACAAAACCTGAAAATGCTTCAATACCCACTTCAAACAATGTTAACAATAAAACTGTTAACGACCGTTTAACACACACTTTTCCTTCCGGATACTGTTCTTATTCTCCCTGTGT